GGGGGGGGGGAAGATAAGAGGGTAATATATGAATAAATGAAAATGGTTGGGTATACCTTCGGGGATAATGTTTTTATAAGCTTAGGTCATGATCAATTGCACTCCCGTGATGGGGAGGATAACGGAATGAATCAACCTAAGTACTTAATGGATGGACAGATCTATAGAGTATAAGATAAAGAAATTATTCTCACAATAAATTCAATACATGATAAGGTAATATACCTAAAAATAAAGTAGGAATAATTAAAGCATACAACCTTCCCAAAAGTACAATTGGAAGTGAAAGATATATAAAAAGTTTTAATACCACCAGTTGATCTATTACTTAATGTCTTTGATATGAAGCAGATGATAAAACAAATAAAGCAGCTCAAGTACCTAAGAAAGAAGAAGGAGAATTAGCACCCTCTAGAGATGGCAATTCACCAATTAAATCAATAGATAAAGGAGTACCAGTGTTACAAAACTTGATGTAATAAAATAAATAGCTAAAAAAGGCATGAAAGAAATTAGACCTTGATAATAATCAATCAAACGGTTATGATATCTATCATATAAAACACCCGCTTGCTTCGACTGGAAAAATCCCTATCCAGTTAGCAGTTGAACGTTCGGAAGTAGTATGCTTCCGCCAAAATGGCTTCATCATCAGCCCATAGTGGCACTCTATAGGCACCATCACGAGCATTTATCACTGACAGGTGTATTTTACCATTGTCACAAGGCCATATGAGCACCCGAAACTAGCTCTAAGCAAAAGAAAGTAATACGTCGGTTCATTTTGATATAACCGCGAGTGAAGCCGAAGGGACTTATCAGGGTGCCTTTGAATAGAACACAGTGCATGGTGAAGACTCACCTCATTCGGTCTCTTGACAAGACTTTTTACAAAAGATAGTACGATACTGGTGAACGGGCCCATTAGCGGGATATTGCCGGCATTCGGTATCAAAGGTCAACAAAAAGTGTAAATTGATTCTCGATGGCAAAGGCCCATACAAGTTATTCTCGGTGTCACAGGCCAATACAACTTCCAATTGATTCACGTTATCAAAGGTCAATACAGCCTCCAAGTTATTCTGATGTCAAAGGCGAACACAGATTCCAAGTTATTCTCGATATCAAAGGTCAACACAGCTTTTGACATATTCACGATATCAAAGGCACCTACAGCCTCCAATTTATTCTCGATGTCAATTCCCAACACAGCCTCCAATTGATTCAAGATTTTCAAGTCAAATACAACTTCCAAATCATTCTCTATGTCAAATAACAATACGGCTTTAAAAGGACACACGATATCCAAGGCCAATACGGCTGCAAAATGATTCTTTCCTCACAGCGACAGTAATCATCTCGAAAGTCATTGCCATATTGGCCTCACCTACCCACCTGGATCTCAATGGATCACTGGCAAAGTCCCGAGGATCAACCATAACGAAAACATTGTATGTTCGAAAGTCTAAGGCTTCCCCCGACGGGCCTAGGAATAGATGCAGAAAATCCAATGACCAACTATCCAAAGAAATACATTGAGGGGGAATGGCCCCCCGGAGATCGGAATTGGCAACAGACTTCCACCACAATCTTTCCGGTATAATACAAGGTTCTACCTATTGAAAAGCCCGTGACGCTCAATTGTTCAGCATAGGCTTGACACGCTTGATTTCATATCTAGACTTGAGTCATGAGCTCTTATGATCGAGCCACAATATTCCATGCTTTTAACCACCTACCTCGAAAGAGAACAAAAACTCTGAGCTGTAAGCCGGAACTGAAGCCAAATGAAATTAGATGTTTTTTTCTCCCCAACTATTATTAAAAGAATTATATATTGTTGCGGCCAAGCGTTTGGCCAATCTTCCTGGGATGTGGCAGACTACGGCCCAAAAAATATCACTTTATCTTATGGGAAATGCAAGTTTAACTTTCCTGGAGGAAGCATACGAGTACTTTTGAAAATACTTGAGCCTTGAGGGCTTTGTATGTTCTTTCCAAAAATTCACTACAGCTTCAAATATTAGCAAACTTTGTAAGGATTCAGGGACTCAGAGCTCTTTCATAAGGAATTGTGTCTACTTCAAGTGATATCACGTTCAGCTGCGTTTGACATTGATGAGCGTGGTGGTGTGATGTCTGTTAATGTTTCTTCGAATATTGCCCAAAGGTACGAAAAGAACTTGTTCGTTGCTTTTGGGGCTGGGCTAAGCAGCACATGGTCAAACCAATATCCTTAGAAAGATATTTATATGATGATTTCACCGGGGAACTGCAGAGCAATGAAATGGAATGGTGTCTGAAACATGTTTGCCGTCCCAAGGCAAAAGGACCAGTGCGTTTCATCGCCAGCTTTTCAGCACCAGCTTTTTCATCGGCATTCCATGACCAGCGCCGCCATAGAGCTTTGGCCGAGCCCTGAGCCATTTTCCCATCACTTCATCACCATCGCCATGCCCATTTCGTCGCGCTTCCTTCTTAGTCCCGAGCAGCATACCAGCGAAGTTCTTGTTTTTGTCTTTTTCTTCCCCCTCTATTGTCCTCTACTTGTCCTCTAATTCACCCAATTTTCCCTCTAATTGTCCACCTAATTGTCCACCTATTTCTGTAGTTTTCCTACAATTGTCCTCTAATTGTCCTCTAATTGTCCTTCAAGTGTTCTCTGAATGTCCTCTAATTCAACCTTTAGTCCCCTCCAATTCACCCTTTAATCACCCTCCAATTCACTCTTTTATTGTCTAATTGTCTAATTGTCCTCTAGTCCCCCTCTAATCCTCCCTCTAATTGTCCTCTACTCCCCCTCCAATTGTCTAGTTATCCTCCAATTCATCCCCCAATTTACCCTCTAATTTTCTAATTGTCCTCTAACTCACCCTCTAATCCCCCTTTAATTGTCTAGTTATCCTCGAATTCACCCCCTAATTCACCCGCTAATCCCCCTTTAATCGCCCTCTAATTGTCTAATTGTCCTCTAATCTTCCCTCTAATTCACCCGCTAATCCCCCTTTATTTCACCCCCTAATCCCCCCTCTAATCCCCCTGTATTTCCCTCCAGTTTTCTCCAACTATCCCCCTCCCCCTAATTCCCGCCAACTGTCCAGTTGTCCTCTCACCCACCCTCCCTCTGGAGCCCATGGCGCGCGGCCCGCGAAACCAGCCGACTCCCAAACCACCTTCCGCCATCTGCAAACCCCACCATTCTTCCCACCCTCCCCGTACGTATCCTCTCCACACCGCCAATATTCAACCCATTCTTCTTCCCCCCCAACAATTCTTCTTCTCCCCCAAAACTCCCCCTTTTCCCCCAAAAAAACCCCCTTTTTCCCTTGCTACGTCACGCCGCCCCCATGAACGCGGCCGCAGTGCACGACCTGCGACTGTGCATCCAGCACATCCTCGACACCGTGCCCTTTGCCGCCGGAACCACGCCAAAAGGCTATTTTTTGGGCGTGTACAAACTCACACACGCCGACTTGCTGCTGCTCCGCCTCTCCGAACACGCCTGGCAGGCGCACGGCCAGGTGCCCGTGAACAGGCTCCTCAAACTCTCGATTTCCTTCGGCAATCTCCTCAACACGTTTCTGCTGGACCGGGCGCAGCACGAGGCCAGGGCGGCGGCGCAGCAGAGACAGCTTGCCGCGCAGGCGCCGGCCAAAAACGGCGGTCTGGGCGACCCGTTCCACGCCGGCTACACGGGCGAGCCGGCGCCGGCCGTGGCGCCCCACCACACCAGCTTTGCCCGGGGCTTTTTGGGCATTTTGAAGAACTTCGACATCGCGCCGGCCCGCGCCGCGTTCGCCGAGGACGGCGTGGCCGTGCCGGGCGCCAAAACGGGCTCGCCCATCCGCCTCAACTCGCGGCAGCTTCTTGTAGAAAAACTCGAGATCAACGTGGAGCTCGACGCGCTCTTCACGTTGAAAATCACCTTGCAGCTTCTCCAGCGGCTCTTGCTGTTGTTGGAGCAGCTGGCGGCCGACATGCCGCCGCAAGGCGCCGTGGCCCAGGCGCCGCCGGGGCCGCCTTCCGACACCTCGTCGATATTCTCGTCCGTTTCGGGCTCGTCGTCGGCCGGGGACTCCGCGTTGGGTATGGAGGAGTACGCGAGGGTGGTGGCGGAGGTGGTGCGGCGCGTGGCGGCGGGGATCGTGGATCCGTTCGTGGCGCTCTTGCGCGACTCGGTCGTGAAGCCTCGCGTGTTTGGCGGCTTCCAGGACCTAGTGGACACCATCTGAGGGGCCTTGCGGCGGAAGGGTGGGGCGCGGCAGGGGCCTTTATGGGAGTGGCAGGGGCCTTTATGGGCGCCTGGAGCAACGGGCTTTGAGAGGGAGCTCAGGGAATGATTATGCTCCACGGCAGCGGCGGTGGTTGTTGCGGGCAAGCCGGCCGCGTGGTGCTGTCGAGGGAACATTGGTACTGGAGTGCGCTGGACATGGGGGTCGTGGACGCCGGATCTGCGTTCTTCAGCCCGAGAAAGTGACCGTCTTGCCCCAAACTGCCGCGGTGCCTTTACTGACCATGGAGCACTGACGGCGTCGATACGGGCCTGTTCTTTCGAGGAATCAGGCCCGGAAGCTTCCCTTGGACACTCCACGTCCCACTCCACATTCGCTTTGTGAGAATGATGACCACATCTGCCAAGACACTAGCCACTTGGACTTTCATCCGCTTGGATTTTTGCTTGTGTCAAATTGTCGTGACGGGTGCTTGGTGGCGGCACGCGTCGTGGAATGTGTTTTGGGAATCCTGGGAGTGTGTTCTGGGAATTCCGGGAATGTGTTCTGGGAATTCCGGGAATGTGTTCTGGGAATCCTGGGAATGTGTTCTGGGAATCCTGGGAGTGTGTTCTGGGAAGCCTGGGAGT